GGGCAGCCCGGCCAAACGGCGCACGCCGGTGAAGCGCAAGGCGGGGGACGGCGACGCCGGGGAGGAGTCCCTGGTGGGTGGCGGCCACGCCTGCATTGGCGGCGCCCGCACGGGGCGCTGCACTCCCTGCCCGCGCGCGCCGGGCTCCCTGCTGATCCCTTCCGCCACAGTATGCGCGCTGCAGGCGGCTGCGGCGCCATGGCAGGCCCTGCTGCATGCGATGCATGCCGGCGTGGCGCGGGCCACGAACGTGCTCCCCCGCTGGATCTATCAACAAGCCCCTGTTTGACCAATCCCCAATCGCCCAACCCATCCCCAAACCCGCCCCCGCCTCGCAGTGCGAGAACCGCCACGCGCCGGCCCCTGGCTCCCCGGCGTTCAAGCAGCCCGCGTTCGACGCATTTGGCCCCACCACGGAGCCTGGCCACCCCCTCGGCGCCCGCAGCCGCCTCGCAAACACGCCCTGCACGGCGGCGGCGCCCCCGGCGCAGGCGCCGCAGGCGCAGGCCGCCGCGCAGGCGCAGGCCGTTGACCAGCAGCAGCAGCAGCAGCAGCAGCAGCAGCAGTCGTCCTCATCGTCGTCTGGCGGCCGCAGCGGCGGCCTCCTGCGGTTTGGGCCCGGGGCCCGCATGCGGCTCGGGCCGCAGCGCTGAGCACCCCTGCCGGGGCCCACGCCCGGCCCCACGGCGCCCCCCAACGCCCGCGCCCGCACCCTGGGACGGGCCTCCGGCCCCTGAGCGGCGGGCGGGGCGCAAAACGGGCGCCTCCTCAGCATCCACCCTTTTAGGTTGTACCAAGGCATTCCGCACCTGACACTGCAAATCTGACCCACGCACGCGACAGGATGTAGGCTCTCCCAGCTCCAAGGGGCCGCGCCCCCGCATCCCTGTATGCAGTGGCCCCGCCTGGGCTGCTGCAAGGGTGCGCGCAGGCGGTGGTTTGGGCAAGACCCCTGGGCTGGGCTCTTGGCTTACGCCGCTCAGGGGCTAATCCCTGACTCGCAAGCACGCCTGCTTGGCCATGCGCGAAACCCTGCTGCGCCTCGGGCTGCCGCGCTTTCCGCCAGCTGTTCCATCAAGCACGCAAGCGTGCGCTCCGTCTAGAGAGGCTGCCGCGTCCTTTGGGACAGCCCGGCAACCCCCCATCCGCCATTTTCCGCCGCGGGCCGCAGCCGCCCACTAGACTAGGGGCGGCCACCTGGGCCCCTGCGACCCCTGTTTTATGCCAGGATGGAGCCGCGCTTTGACGACAGGCTGAGGCCGCCGATGCCGCCGCAGCGGCGTCGGCCCCGCGGACTAGACCGAGACTTTGACCCGACAGGATGGCGGGGCGCCCCTCCCCGCACCCACGCAAACCCGGCCCCCAGAGAACCGCCTTTCCTGCACGCAAGCCAAAGGCGCGGGCGCGGCGCCCAAGACGCCCGCCCGCTGCCCCATGCGCACGCCCCTGTGACGGATCCTGTGACCGCTCCTGTGACCCTTTGACTCCGCCCTTTGACCTCGCGAGTGCGAGGGCAGCGGCGCCAGGCAGGACGGCCCCACCATCACTGCGCGCATTGCTTGCGCACCCGCCATGCGCATTCACTCTCAAAACCGCCGGGCGTCGGCTGCCCCCAGGGCGCCGGCCCCATGGGTCCAACTGGCCTCTCTCATTTGCAAGCGGTGGAGAGGGGCCGGGCTCGGTCGAACTGTCAGCCCCACTTTCCACGCCTGCGGCCCCCGAACCGCGTGACCCAACGACCTTCTCTGACCCGTGCCTTTAGTGCCCGAGTCACATGCCCCTGCCTCCAGTGTCACCCTTTCTCGTGCGGCCCCTTTGCCGGGGCGCACTGCCTGGCCTGATGGCGATCTGGTATTTGCGCCATTGGAGGCCACCATCGCCCCCCCCCCCCCGACCCCGCTGAATGGGAGTCGGCGCGGCTCGGTGCGCCGACGGCACTCTGCCTTGCACGCATGCATACAAGCATGCCGCCGTGCGCGGCTGGAGCCGAGAGGCCGCGTTGGGCCGCTGTGCACCGATGCGCTGTGCGCCCCATATCCCCGTGACATCCTGTCCGTGAGCGAGTAAGACACTGACCCGGCAGTCTACGACAAACCCTAGTGTTACAGTCCAGTGGCGTTAGTTAAGCGGCAGCCACCTGGCGGCTGTGCAGTCGGCAGTCTATTGTGACAGCGGCTAGCTCTACTGGATCGCGGGGGCATCGCCTACTTGGTTGTGAGTCAGTCAAACGTCGCCACAGCCGCCATTTCCTTGACCGCTGCCGCGGCCGTAACTAGAGGCGGCGATCAGGGCGCGCAGCAGGTGGGGGTGCTCCACCACGGCTGCCGCCTGCCGCCTGAGGTGGTGCTCAAACGCAGCCGCCCTCCGCACCCGCACGCCCCGCGCCGCCGCCGCGTGCTCCGCCTCTCGCGCGGCCTCGGCGCGGCACAGCGCCGCGAGCGCGGCGGCGCGCTGGAGCGACGGCGCGCGACCGTGCGCGGCGGCGCGGGGCGCAGCGAGGACGAGGGCGCGAGACAGGTAGAAAAAGCGCAGCACCCCCGGCCCGTCGGCGCTGCAGGCTAGGGCAGCGGGGCCGTCGTTGCAGTGAGCCCCTGCGGCCGCCGCCAGCAGACGCGCGACAATCGCCGCGCCCGCCGCCGCGGCCGCGCCGCCGTCGGAAGCCGTGTGCGGCGCCCGCGGCTCCGACGTCATGGGCCCGCCGCCCGCATCCACGTCGGCAGCTTCCAGGGCAGCTGCCAGGCAGCCGCCGTCCTCGTCCCGCAGGGCCATGTCGGCCAGCCAGGCGCCTGCGCCCGGCGCCCACGCGCCGCCGCTGCCGCTCGGCGCGCCGCCCCCCTCTAGCAGCCGCCTCAGCCGCCAGTCGCGCGCAGCGGCTGCGCTCGCCAGGCCAGCGTTGCGGCCGGCGAAGGGGAACGGCGCGGCCGCCGCGGCCGCGTGGTGCGCGCGGGCGCAGGGGCCG